CAGCCTTCTTTGCTATTTTGAATGTGTTTTTTCGTGAGCATATATTCCCTGTTCATAATACTGGGTTTCATAAACAATTTCTTTTAAGTATACCATGCAATTTAACCATATTTACACCCTCTTCTTTCTCCCCTCTCCTCCTCTCTCCCAATGTTTTCCTTCATTCCCATAGCCTCTTCTGCTTTCATGTTGTGTGTGTATGTGTGTATGTAGACAGATTTATGTGTATCTCTATAAAATCTAGAATCTAAAAATGAGAGAAAGCATATATTTGTTTCTTAATCTAGTTTATTTAACTTAATTTTAATCATTTCCAGTTGAATCCTTTTTCTGTAAATGACATGACTTTTTTATGGCTGAACAAAACTTCATTGTGTATATATACATTTTCTTTTCTCATTCATCTGTTGATGTGCACCTTGTTTGATCCTAAATTGCTTGTTCCCAATAGTACTTTTAGTATCTCTTGGTATGTTGATTTGCTTCCTCAGGGTATATGCTAGCTTCCTGGACTCCAGATGTTTCCTCATTGCTGACATGCACATGATTTATCTCCTATAATGAAGACAGGAAAAGATCCTTTTTGCAGCCCTCATTCTGGCTGTCAGTAGATGCTGTGCCCAGACACAGCTCTCCTGCTTTGTTTGAGGCTTGAGATAGTACAACAAAATGCAACCCTCTTTTGCGTGCTTCCTTGATTAGATACTAGATTCACTTCCATAGTTCCCATCATGGAGTATGAGATTGCCTTGTGCTTAAAGACTAGCTTAATTGTTTGATCTTTCTCTCATGGTAAGTAGTTTTGAACGTGGCAAGTCATGTTGAAAAGAAATAGAGATTTCTAGTCCATATCAAGTTGGAGATGAATGCAAGGATATTTAGAAAATCTTGCCAATCACGGTTTCCGGTAAACGCATGAACTGGTTTGCAGCTGCTGTTATACTAACCTCCATACCTAAAGCAAGGAGGCTCAACTCAAGCTTAAAAGAAAGCAAAAGTAAGGTCCAAATAAAAGGGAGAATGAGGCTAAGTTTATGAGGACTCTTGTATGTGAAGTAATAACACAGTAATACCCCAGAAAAATGAAACTGGACAGGGCAACAAATACACCACTAGTCCATGGTTTTGTAAGCGCTCTTCAAGTGTCCAAGGGTTAGAAAAATGAGGAATACAAGCAATGGTTTCTGACAAGACCATTGCTTTCACAGGAAGCTTACGAGGAATGCAGTAGCTGGAGGAATGCACTGGCCTTTCATCCAGTGTTCAGATTGTCACACAAGCAGTTTCTGCTTGCTCTGGGAATAGCTTTTCAGAAGCGTGAACTTGTGATGTGTTTGATGCAAAGGCTATGTAATTCATCACAGGCTATGGAGAAATGTCAGGTTTGGACCAAAAACTTAATATTTGAAGTGACCTACCAAATTTTTCCTGGAAATATTTAGTACTTCATTATCAACTATTGTCTCTTTTCCTTTTAATTCTTTTATTCCATTCTGTTTACTTTCTTCTAAAAATATTTTTAATTATTTGAGAGTTTCATACAATATGTTTTGATTATATTCTCTGTTCCTTCTCTGACTCCTCCCATATCTCCCCCCCTTTTCCCTACCTGCCCACCTTCTTGTGCATACTGTCACAATCACCATGAATTCTTATGTGCAGCTGCCCTGTTATGTCTAAGAAACACTGTAGCGATCCAATGCCTTTTGTTCTTACAGTTTTTCTACTCTCATCCCTTCCTCAATGGACCCTGGGCCTTGTGGGGAGGGTATGATATATTCTCTGCATATCGAGCCATTAGGCTTCTATGTTGATTGCCATCTACTGCAATAAGTTTCTCTAAGAAGGTTTGAGAGATGTGTTAATCTATGGATTATTGCAGGAAGTCCTTCCACTCCTTCAGCCAATAGCTGCGGAGATGCCCATTGGGGCGTGGTCTCTCTTTCTTTATAAAAGCAGCAACTGCCCTTGCTCACTCTCTGGCTTCCGGCTACTAGGCTCCCTTCCTGATTGAGCAGAGGGCTGTTGTCTGGGACAGTGATCTGTAAGTTTTTCCCCCTTAAATAAACAACCTTTCTATTAATCATAATTCCAAACTGGTATGGGATTGTTTGTGACTTACACCTTTAATGGATCCAAGTTTAACCAGTCATTTCATTACTATGTCCATTTAGTAGCACATTTAGTAGGTTCTCCCCTAAAGTCCATAACCTTTTTAGCCAGAAGTACTTGGCAGAGATAATAGTGTCTGGTATGATGCCATGTAGTGCAAAAGGTCTTAAATCCAATTATAAGTATTTGGTTATTCCTATAACATTCAGGCCACTCTTGCACAAGTAGGCATTTCTTGTCAGGACAGTCATTTTTTGTAATTCATAGGGTTCACAGCTAGGTAAGCTTGATGATTACTTTTCTCTTTCAGTTAAGCTATAATGAGAACAATACCCCTACTCGACACCACATGCTACAAATAAGCCTCCAGTATCAGAAATAAGTTACTGTTTAGTTAGTTGTAAGCCCTTGTGGTTTCACAGAACTCCCCCTCAAAACAATACAGCCTATTTCTGTTGTTCTTGGTCACCCTCTAGAACATGGCAGAAAGACCCTGGTACTGAAGACACTGTATACTTGAGTAATAAATCATGGAAAAATCCAGCTTGCATTATCCTGATGACTCAACTTCCTATCTAGCTCTCATAGTTTCTTTACATTCTTAACCAGGATCCAGTAGAACCAAAGAATTTTTCTAAACTTTAATAATTTATTCTAAAGGAAGGAGGTGGGGTGTTCCATTAAGGAAGTTCCTTAAGAACATAACTGTCCTTCTAGCAGATCTTAGACTGGTCAGAAAATTCATCCATTGCTTTACAGTCTTCATTAAAGGTACACTTAATCTGAGCGCTCACTCATGGAGAAATCTAGATCTTCTTCCTTCTTTATCTGAATCATCATAAATCACTATTGCAGGGTTCTGCTCATGGTGAGCAATATTTGGGTGATAGCACATCAGCTGTTTGGTCTCCTATATTTCTCATCTCTTAACAATTTTCAATCTTGATTACGCAAACAGTGGAAAACCTATATATTTCTATGCCTCTGTCCTGTAATATTTCTTCAAGAATATTCTTCTCGTCTTACAGTCATACCTAGAGAAGAAGGCAGGAACCTACAGATGCATCACTGTGTGTGCTAAAATGGTTAGGCTTTCCATTAGAATTATTTGTTTTAGGGAGTTGGAAACGTAGCTTAGCAACTAAGAGAATGCTGGAATGTTTCAACTGTGTGAACTTTGATTAGTGACTTCTCTTGTTGGCCTGAACTGTACATGGAAATAGTATCTTCCCATTGATATTCTAAAGTCCTTGCATGGTTTAGATATGGTAATCTACTTAAATATTGTAACATAGTGATGGAAACCAAGTTGAAAATAAGGCTTTGTAAATTATTATGTCTATGTGCCTCAACATAGTCATCATCATGTGATTCAACAATTAAGATGAATTGATTTGGAAGTTTACATTTTTGTACTTCTTGATTAATATATTATCGTGAGGATTCAAAATTATTTTTTGCTTTCTTATATCCAGATGGTATTCTTATCTATCTTTTTGAATCCTTGGCATGCGTATGATTTTCAAAATGTTTCTGCATATCTGCATGTGCACATATATGCACAGAGATAAAGAGTTAAAAATTCTGTGTTTGGAGCATCTGCATTGATCTCTGTTTAATCTTTCTTAAATTAAAAGCAAGCAAGGACGATTTTTTTGTCTTATGTTAACAGGTGTCATGACTCATCTAATTCAATTCTACCATTACCTCACTATAAAATTCTTTGTGGTACATTTGGCTCAAGTTTTCATCTAGCATGCATCTAAATATTCCATGTAACTTTAAGAACACTGTTTGCAGTAGAACTACTCCTGTATCCTTGGCCCTCATGCAATTATTATGGGGATTCCATTAGCTGCTATATTGACAGTAGACCATAGTTCTCATCATTTAGTAAACACTCACTCACTAAATGCAACTTATCATCCTTATCATTCAATGATTGTATTTCTATAATTATTATATCTCTATTTTTATGAGTGAACCTCTTTTGAGGAAAATGCCCCACAAAATTAACCTATGAACAAGCCTATAAAACAAGACATTTTCTTGATTTATGATTGATATGGGAGAACTCAGCTTACCTCTGGGGTGATAGTTCTGGATGCTAAAAGAAAATAGAATGAGCAAGCTATGAGGAACAAGCCAGTAAGCAACTAAGTTCCTCCATGGCTTCTGCTTCAATTTCTACCACTAGTTTCCTGGCCTGACCTCCCTCAGAGATGGACTGTTATATGGAAGTATAAGCAAGTATAATGTAAGTATACCTTTTCCTTTCCAAGTTGCTTTCATTGTATTGTATTACAGAAAACTAAACCTTAACTAAGACTTACTTAACCATAAACTATTTCCTATGTCAAAGCTTTGTGATATAAAACACATGGCAACAAATCTAGTCTGTTCTTGTTTTTTAACATGATGGTCCTTGAAATACATACAATTCCCACAAACTCACATCTTTCCCACAGAAGCTAAAGATTCTGTTTACTTTAAATAGGCCACATAGGAAATAGATTTCAAACACTTCTCACCAGTTATTTTCCCCTAGTCGTGTTCCTCTTGCTCTTTTTTGCTATCTGCCGCAATAGAATCCAGTAGCCAGCAGCAGAAAACAATGGTTCTGCTTCTCAGGTTCTGGAGTTTACTGATGGTTTTATTTACTTATTTATTTATTTATTTTTATTTGTCTTACTTTTTTTTGAGGCTCAAGGACAGTGTTGTTAGAGTTTAAGAAGATAAAACCAGATCAAATAAACTGTAAATCTCAAAAACTGCCCAAAGAAGACAAATGGAATAGAAAAAGAGAGAAAAGGCCATGTCACTTGAGTTAAGCCAGCATGGAGGTTAGCCACGTGGCAGGAAGGGAAGCATTAGAGAAAGAGTGAACAACTCCAAAGTACCAGAGCAAGCATGGCTAGGCTCTGGCCAGCATCGAAAGCATTTATTGGTTTTTATTAACATAATCAAAGTTGTACCTGTTTTTAGAAACTGTTTTATAATATTGGCTCTTATTAACTTGGCAAACTGAATGACCTGTGTCTTTGTAACACAAGCTATGGTACCATAATATTTTCTTCATTTCATTCTTGGATGATCTGTTTTATTTTTCATTTTCATTGTTTCAGGCCCATTAGTTCAGCCATTCTGCCTCATAAAAATAGAGATATAATAATAAACCAAAAAGTTGAAATATTCCCTGTCTTCTTGCTCAGAATAGTTTTAGTATGCCATTAGTCCATGTGCTTATTTTCTTAGCTTCACTCTGATCTTTAAGGAAACCATAGGCAATAAACTTGATTTCCTGTGGACTGATCCTGTTTCCCATAGCCTTCAACCTCTGCTCAGTTCTGCTGTGTCTCCTGAAGAAAGGATATTCTAGTGTAGTTGTCAAGACAGTGTGAGTAATAACTACAAGTGTAATATGTTTTCTAAAAACCACTGATTTAGTAGAAAGCACACTTGCCTTAAAGTACAAATGTTGCCACTTACTAACTCTGTAGCTTTGGATAAGTAATAGTAAATTAGTAATAACAATCTCTCTGAGCTCTGTGTCTCCTAACTTTACAATTTTCAAACTAGATAGTTTATGTACATACAATAATGTTGAAATGCTAATAAATAGTGGTAATAATTATTACTAAAACTCAGTAATGTCATCAAAAAAGTTTTCTCCCAATCTTTGTCTTATCTACCATTAGGACTAGCCTGCTTTTAATATTGTCATTCCAATAAAGCCATGCATTAAAATAATGAGCACGACATGGGCAAGTAGAGAGTACTATAAAACTATTGGAGATGAGCTACGAAGTTGTCAGTCCATACAGTCACTGCTTGAACACAGTTTGTAACAAGAATCTGAGTAATGAAGTTATATGATCTGCATTGCTCTGTCTTTTAAAGTAAGGTAGCTTAGCTGCAAAGCTGTCATTCTATAATCCTTTCAAAGAAAAAAGAATTAGAGAAAATCATCTTTCCTTAAAGTCATGCTCTTACACTAGCTTCACTGGTCAGCACTTACTTTCATAAGTGTTTGTATATCATCTATTTAATAAGTCATTCTTCAAGTGGTGACAGCCAACAAGCTCAGCAATTTTAGAACCCGAATTTCCCTCTGTTTGCAAACAAAGTTGTTATTTTTTGTCATAACCAATGGCTTTCTAGACTTTCTTTAATTCAAAATCAAGACTATAGCCCTGGGCAAAGGACAAATATCTATAAAGACTATTTTGATGATAATACTTTATTTACTCTAAATTTTTCCTTTTTCTGAAAGTAGAGGGTTTTTCGCACATTATATATCCTGATTATGCTTTCCTCTCCCTTTATTCCTCCCAGCTCCTCACCTTCACTCCACACATCCAGATCCACCCTCTTTCTGTCTCTTAGAAAACAACCAGTCATCTCTTTTCCTCCTAATAGGTGGCCTTGTCCAGCCTCCATATTGTTGCTGGAAGCTGCTTGTTTGTTCCTGGCTGCTCACCTAGCTTAGACCTGAAATAATCACATAGAAACTGTTTTAATAAAATCACTACTTGGCCCATTAGCTCTAGCTTCTTATTGGGTAAGTCTTACATTAATTTAACCCATTTCTAGTAATCTGTGTATCGCCTCATTGTCTATGGCTTACCAGCTAAAATTTCGGCATGTCTGACTCTGGTGACTCCATGGTTTCTCTCTCTGCCTTCCTTCTCCCAGCATTCAGTCCAGTTTTTCCTGCCTACCTATGTTCTTCCCTATCAGCAGGCCAAGGCAGTTTCTTTATTCATTAACCAGTAAAAGTAACACATAGACAGAAGGACCTCCCACACCACCATATGAGAGCTTTTGCCTTGTCTTGGTATATCTTGTTTTGTCCTGTATGGCTGTAGTCTCTTGGAGGCCTCCTCTTTTCTGAAGAGAAAATGAAGGGGTGGTTCTGTAGGAAGATGAGAGGTAGGGGGAACCTGGGAGAGAGGAGGAAGGGATGTATTATATGAGAGAAGAATCTAGTTTCAATTAAAAACAAAACAAAAGGTTTCTAAGGGCTAAAAAAGTAAAGTAAATCATCATTAATGATTATAAGATAAAACAAAATAAGATTAAAAGTAAAACAATAAGATAAAAGAAAACTAACACATTGGAATTGGACAAAACATGGAGAAGTTAAAGAGCTCATAAGAAGGAGCAAAAAATAAAGGTTCACTCATTCCCACACTCAAGAATTCCATAGAAACACTAAACTGGAGGCCATAATATGTATTCAAAGGATCTGTAGGGGAAAAAAGAAGAAAACTATCTAAAGAAAATAAAAATGAGATCATTTTTAAAAAAAAAGATGAATTCTGGCACAATATTATGAGACAAGGATCTGCCAAAGATGCCATTTTCCATTGGTGATCTGCTGGGTATACAACCTACCCTTAAATGTAATTTGTTTCTCCAGTGAAACGTCCATTGAGGAAACTAATTTTTTTTTTTATTTGTAAGTGTTTATCAATCGGAGGTTGCTTTCAGTTTAGGAATGGGGCTTGTGTCCATGTCTCCTTTCAGCTCTAGGAACCCAACTGGTGCAGACATGTGCAGTTACTCTGAGTGCTGCCTCAGTCTCTGAGTTCATTTGTGTGTCAATCATATTGATTTAAAGGCATCTCCTTTTTTGGTGTCCTCCATCCCCTCTGGCTCTTACTCTTTTTCCAACATTCCTGTTAGGACTGAGTGTTTGTTTCAAGATCTCTCATTTTCTGCATAGTATCGTGCTCTTGATCTCTGTGTTTGTTCCCATCTGCTGCAGTAGAAAGCTTCTCAGATCTATGAGTATATCAGAATATCATTTTATTGTTTTTATTACTTTGTTTTAGAGGTTTGGGAGGGGCTTTTTGTTTGTTTGTTTGTCTTTTTCCCTTTTTTAAAATTTTTTAATTTTTTTCCATTCAAAAATTTACACTTCCTCCCCTCCCGCTCCCCCACTCACCCTCCTCCCTCCCATCCCTCCTTAAGAGAGGGCAGGGAACCCTGCCCTGTGGAAAGTCCAAGGCCCTTCCCCCTACATCCAGGCCTAGGAAGCTGTGCATCCAAATAGACTAGGGTCCCAAAAATCCAGTACATGCAGTAGAAACAAGCCCAGTGCCTTTATCAATGGCTTCTCAGTCAGGTCCCATTGTCAGCCACATTCAGAGAGTCCGGTTTGATCACATGCTCGTTCAGTCCTGGTCCAGCTGGATTTGGTGAGCTCCCATTAGAACCAGCACACTGCCTCAGTGGGTGGACCAACCCCTCGTGGTCCTGACTTCCTTGCTCACCTTCTCCCTCCTTCTGCTCAACTGGATGGAGATAGAGACAGAGACCCTCATCAGAGCAACGGACTGAGCTCTCAGTGCAACTTTCAGTCAACCTCCTGATACCTGCAAGATGTA